GATATGATATGATATGATATGATATGATATGATATGATATGATATGAGATATGAACTACGGGTTGAGAACTACTGTTCTAAGGAAAGAAGCTGTGGTCAGATCACAGACAGTCAGAAGCTAGATAGAAGAGGAATCTCCTGTATGAGCTCCTGGGGGATTTCATGGCTTCCTGATGCTCATGTTCTAATCATGCTGGAGAGCAGGTTGGAGGGCGAGCAGGCATGGAGGGGCTGGGGTGAGTGTGCAAGGCCCAGAGACAGCAAAGGGACTGACATGATTCAGACAGCTTCCAGAGGGTGAGGCTTTCAGGCTTGTGCCAGTGGGAATTGTCCCAGCAAGCATTCGCTTTAGCTTGTGTCAGCCAAGGGATCCACTAAGAGCAAGGGATCCTCAGACTCCTTGGGACTTTCTCAGAGCACCGGGGTATGCTCTGAGGAGCCATGAAGTGTCCCCTGGGCCAAGACCAGGCCACCTCTTTAGCCTTTCCTGCCTATTCCAGAATAGGCACTCCTGTCTCCAATCCTTCTTGGGTCACCCCTTCCCTCAGCCCTAGCTCCCACACGCCTTCCTCCAGCTTCTCCAGAGGTGTGTCTGTTCTAGCCTCATCACTGTCACCACTCACCCAGGACGCACATTCTCAGCCTACATGCCTGCGCTTGTTGCAAGACCTTCCATTGTCCAAGGACCTCTCCTCTGTCGTCTCCTGGCCACACCTGTCCCCCAGAGGCTGGCGAGTGGGGAAGCAGGCTTCGTTCTGGCTTTACCGGTCTCCTTTCCTTCTTCACCGCACGCCCCTTGGCATACAAGCAGACCTCGGGGGTCTCTTTGGGATTCCCCTTGTTTATGCTTTGCTTACTTCCCCTAAGGGACAAGAGGCAGCTATGGCATCTGATGGTGCTGGCATCACTCCACAGTCGTCACAGCCTATGGATTCAGTAGGAAATTATCATGATCACTCTTGGGAAAAATTGCCCCCTTATAGCTTAAATCCAAAATGAATGTTTTGTTTTTGTGTTTGTTTGCTTGGTTTGGTTTGGTTTGGTTTGGGCATCTAACCTGTGTCTGTTTTTCTGGAGATGTCAAGAGGCTGATAAGAGGGAGTATTCGGGGGTTCAGGGGTGACACCCTGCTTGCCAAGAGCTATAGAGTACCTGGCCCAGGCCAGAAGACAGGCACTCCCAGAAACCCCCAGCCACTGGGAGTCTTTTTCTTTGATAAAAACAAGTTAAAACTTCATCTGGTACCCCTAGGGGCATCAGATATGAGTCCCAAGAGATATTGGGGTAACCACCCAGGAATGTTCTGAACATCTGTGAAGACAATTAACTCATCTCTGCCACCTACAATTCAGCAAAGGAGACATGTCATTCATATGACCAAACCCTCTGTCACTTCCTGGGAAACAGGGGCTTAGAACCTGCTTTTGCCTGGGAAATCCCAGGTTTTGAAATTTCCAGTTTAGTCATCACTTCCTTGTGACCAACAGTATTCTTAAAGGTTAGCTAGTGTGCTGCCTCAGCAGATTGTCACCTGGGCCCCCAGAGCTGCCACTGTCACCACACCACACACCCCCACCATGCTCCCTTCCCTGTGTGCTATGCTCTCCTTATTCCCAACCTTTAATGTACTGAGTGGAGGTAGCTTTCTGCAAAATAACTGAAAAAAACCGATGAAGGCTTGAGTATGAGCATCTGATCGCCTGCTCCATCTTGTCTCTTCCAGGAATGTTTTGTTGTTGTTGCTGAAGTTTCTTTACTTGTTTGTTCGTTAGACTGTCCTTACGATGGAACTGAGACTGACCTTGAACGCTTGTTCCTCTTGCATCTACCCTGCAAGTGCTGGGAGTCCAGGCATGCAGATGTTCTAATTTTTGTTGTTGTTGTTGTTGTTGCTGTGACAAAATGCTGATCGAAAGCAACATGTGAGAGAAAAGGGTTTATTTCATCTTAGGGATTTCAGTCCATCACTGAGGACCAGCCAGAGTAGGAACTCAAGGCAAGAACCTGGCAGCAGGAACTGAAGCAGAGACTATAGAGGAATGCTGCTTACTGGATTGCTCTCCATGGCTTGTTCAACTTGCTTTCTTATAAAACTTGGGATCAGCTGGGAGGTGGTGGCTCACACCTTTAATTCCAGCACTTGGAAGGCAGAGGCAGAGCGATCTCTGAGTTTGGGGCCAGCCTGGTCTGTAAAGCGAGTCCAGGATAGCCAGGGCTACACAGAGAAACTCTGTCTCAAAAAACTAAAATAATAATAATAATAATAATAATAATAATAATAATAATGCTGCCCAGGATCACCAGTCCAAGGGTGGCATTGCTCACTGTGGGCTGGACCCTCCCACACCAATAATTAATCAAGAAATCGCCCCCACAGACTTGCCTACAACGCCGTCTGATGGAGACAATTCCTTAACTGAGATTCCCTCTTTCCAGATGTCTCAGTCTGTATCAAAGAAGCAAAAACTAAATAACACTCATCACCATTCCTGGCAGGAGTATTTTTTTTTTAAATCATAACTTGGAATTTAAGCCTTGGACCAAAGATTTAAGCCTTAGGCTTTATTTAATGATCCAATGGGAAAGTTTTAGGCATGGATTGACAAAAGAGGAACAGTTTTAGAGGAACAAAGGCATTTACAGGGTCCTTTAAGTCATATATGCTAAGTGATCTGACAGAACCAATAGGTCTTGCAGAATCCCTCTGCATGGAAAGCAGACTTGAGAAGAATGGTCCAGGCCCTTGTGGGGGAAGGGCTTGGCATCAGGAAAAGCTAAGGGAGGGGTCCAAGAGGACCGATCAGGTCTTTGGTGAGTCTCCCTTTAAACAGAGCAATTATGCACTCTGACTTGCCCACCTGGATATGCTGGGATTTCTTGGCCCCTGCTACAGCCCCATAGCAGGAAGTTGTTATTCAGTCATTCATTTAAAAGTTGTCTAGTGAGTGCCTACTCTGTCCAAAGGTTGCAGGCCCTGGCCTTCTCGGTGTTCACAGGGTGATGAAGACAATGGCTGGACCTGCTCTGCCAGTATAGCAATAGCAAACACCCTCCCAAGAGCAGCGCAGGGGACTTACTCGCAGCTAAGAGGCACCTGGGCAGACTTGGACACTCAGAGGAAATTTTCAGAGAAGATCCCTTCTAAAACCTGAAAAGCTAGTGAGGAGAAGGGTGGGTTAAAGTAGAAAAGAACGATGTTGGGGGCTGCAGATGATTTAACTGTTAAGACTATTCGGTGCCCTCGTGGATCCAGGTTCCATTCCCAGCAGCATACACAGCATCTCAGAACTGAAACCTCCTGTAACTCCAGCATCAGGAGATCTGATGCCCTCTTCTGGCCTCTACAGGTTACTGCGTGCACATTGTGCATAACTTGGCACACATACACACACACACACACACACACACACACACACACACACACACAAATGAAAGGAAGGAAGGAGGAAAGGTAGGAAGAAATGAGGGAAGGAAGAAAGAGGGGGAAGGGAAAGAGGGTCAGGGATGGAGGAGAGAGAGAGGAGAGAGGTCTAGCCGAAGGAGCAGCAGGCACAAAGGCCTGAGGTGAGGCAGCACAGCGGCACAGCGCCTTTGGAGATCTAAGGGTGACTAAGCTTGTCCCAGAGTCAGAGTAAGAGTGAGTGTGGTTGGGTGTCTACATTCACAAGTAGGTGTGTGAGTATGAGCATGAGTGTGCGCATCAACGTAAGCAGGGCAGGGGTGGGAGTCAGGAAGGGTGGAGAGATGAGGCTGAAGCCGAGAAAACGGTAAGGATGATGGGTAAGGACGGGACTCCTTTCTGAAGCCAGATGGGAGCCATTAAACTGAAGCTCTCTCTCTTATGAGAAAGAGTTGACCTAGGACAACATCGGAGACAGGAGGCCCAGGGGAAAAGCTCCAGAGAGGATGCTGGCCTGCCACCAAGGTAGTGGCAGTACAGTTGAGGGCTCAAGGCGAGAATCAAGGGGGGGGGGGCGCCTTGGTTTCTGGCCTAGGTACTGGAGTCAGTTGAGAGAACAGGGTGGACCTGGAAAGGATGGGCCTGGATGATGAGGTCATCATTTTCTTCTCACTCCATCAAGGCTTTGTCTTGCTGTGTGGATTAAAGGGACAGGTAAAGGGAGCTGGCCTGTCACCTTTACTCCGTGTGAGGAGGGCCGGGAGGGCCTGCTCGCCGATTGGTGAGCCATCAAAGACTGACTGGGATCAGAAACCAGAACACAGGTTGCGGACACTGAAGAACTTCTGGCGAAGTGACAGCACAGGCCTCAGTTCCCGGGGAGGCAGCTCCGCTTCCACTCACACAGCGAGTACTAGGACTAGTCGAAAACTAGCCGGACCCCCATCCTCGCCAGCTTCATCGCACACGGGGCTTCTGACTGTGGAAACCATTGACTTCCATTGAATTCTACAGATCTGGTTTGCACCCCTGGGACTTACCCCATCAGGCCACCAAGGTGGTGACAAAGACAGCCCTGTTGCCCCTTCCTCCTTCCTCCGGAGGACTCGCTTAGGCTCTTCTTAGGCCTATCTGTTCTGTTACTCTCAGAAGTCATAGACCGGCTCCCATTTTGGAAAGCTGTACTGAAGTCAAAGTGGTTTTTTCCCTTCCCCAGGGCGTGTGGGGGGACAATACCAGATTTGGTTTGTTCATTGAAAGTGAAAGAAGCCACTTGACCACAGATAGGAAGGTTTCCTGGGTTTTACACCTCATGTTAGGAGAACAGTGTTGTGTGTGTGGAGAACCTTCTGGGCGCAGCTGCGTTAAATGATATGGGGGTGTGGCCCCTGTCCCTTGTTTCATCTGAGCCCCACCCCACAATGCTCCTCCTTGGCTGACTTGTGGAAAGCTGCGCTTTTCTCCACTGCTGCTTCTCCTCAGCTCAGCTCTACTTTGCTTCCCTCGGTGCTAAGGCAACAGGTGAACTAGACTTTTGGCATAGGCCTTCCAGGTGTCTCCCTGACATCTGGAGCACTGTGGAGCTTATCTTGCTTCAAATCAACAGGTGTATATTGGTGAGGGTTCTCTAGATGAACAGAACTGATACAATGAATGTATGTATTAAAAGAGGACTTATTAGATGGGCTCACAGGATGTGATCTAAATAGCTCCACCACGGCTTTCTTGTGATGGGAAACGCTGACAGTCCAGTAGTTGCTCAGTCCATAAGGTTAGATGTCTCATAGTCCCAATGTGGTGCTGTAGGCCTGGAGTATTCCCAGAGAGATGCTGGTCTTCAGAATGTATTGGAATCCCAAAGAAGTTGGTTCTAATATTGGTGGAGGAAAGTGATAGCAACAAGATAGATGGCCTTGCCAGTGAGAAGGAGGGCAAGCAGGCAAAAAGCAGCTTCCTTCTTCTGTGTCAATTTATCCTGGCTGCCACCAGAAGATACAGCCAGAATTAGGTCGGGTCTTCCTGCCTCAAATCATCTGATTAAGAAAATGCCTCACAGGAATGGCCCAGCGCTTGGGTCTTCGTTGATCCCAGATTAGCCAAGTTGACAACCAAGCTCGACCATCAAAGGTGTTTGCTCAGAGCCTGGGGTACATCTGCATTGGGCTACCCCTGTCCACCACAAGGACCAGCTAGATCTGTCCACATCCCATGAAACCTATAGCCTGAGGTCTGTGTGGACTTCCTGGGGTTCTAGAACCAAGCCAGAGAGGTAGAACCCCACATCAGGAGAAGATTATCAACTGAGAGGATACCCTGCTCTGGAAGAGATTTGTCTAAGGCTCTCTCTTGACTCCACGACCTCCTCTCTTCTTCCTCTTCTCCCATTGTCTTCCCTGGCCAGTGAGTCAGACAGACTGCTTTGTGACCCTCTGGCTGCCTACTGCCTCTCAGGAGAAGCTGAGGACCAGAACTATCTCCAATTGCCTACACCCAGAGTGGGATGAAAGCTTTACCTTCCAGATCCAGACTCAAGTCAAGGTGAGCCACAGAGGACCACACCCGTGTGCCTGCCCTCTCAGCCACCTCTGTGCATGTGCGTGTGTCTGTCTGTTTGTCCTTCTTAAGGCTGTTTCTTTGTCTTCCTGCTTGTCCTACTAACTTGTCTTCCTCCCACCCCACCCCCCACCACTATTTCCTTCTCCCTGTGTGTATCCCTCGGAGTCTGCTAATCCTTCTACCTTCTAACTCCCCCTGTCCTCCTAATTGTTGCTGGCCCTGACTATCTCTTGCTTCAGAACAAGTTGTATTTCCCGTACCTTCCAGAGTATGCTCCCTGCAAGAGAATATGGAGGAAGGAAACGCCATTCTATTAACCAGGTCCAACCTGATCTAATTTCAGCCTGAGGCTTTCCTCTTAAATCCATCCTCAATTGCCTTTCTCTTACTTCCATTTCCTCAGGTGTGTGCTCTTTCACTCACCGAGTCATTGTTTCATGGTGCTATTTTTCTTCGGATATATGGTAGGTCTAAGTCATGGTGACATCTCTTGTAGAATTCTCCTTGAGCATCTTGAATTGTGGCAGCCTTGAGACAAATTTGACCTGGTGATGAAGGCATGGATCCTGAGAAAGTCAAGGCTTGACACTTCAGATAACGGCTTTAGAGTTCTAGTTAATGAAAGCCCTTTTATTTTTCAAGTGAGTTGTGATCACTATAGAACACACAAACAAACAAACATTTTGACCACTTATGGTGGCTCACACCCGTCATCTCATTACTCAGGAGGTTGAATAGGAGGATTGCAAATTTGAAGCAGGCCTGGTCTGCACAGTGAGACCCACTACTTTTTCTTTTTTTTGGGGGGTGGGGCAGGGAGGGAGCAGGTTTCTCCGTGTAGCCTTGGCAGTCCTGGACTCACTCTGTAGACCAGGCTGGCCTTGAGCTCACAGAGATCCACCTGCCTCTGCCTCTCGAGTGCTAGGATTACAGGCATGTGCCACCACAGCCCAGTGCTTATCAAGCTTTTAAAGGGATCAAAATCTCCTAAGATCAGATCAGGGGGATGGCATTCTCCAGGAAGCTGGAGAAAGATTCTTCCACCCTGGATTCATGTCCCTGCAAATGACTCTGACATCCAAGCGGAAGCCTCTGTGTCCCCCTTCCTCAGATCTCACTTTCTGAGGTCACGTCTCTTCATCTGGGAGTAGGTCGCTGCAACCATGGTAACCAGGTTTGTTCTCTCTCTCTCCTCTAGAACGTACTGGAGCTGAGTGTCTGTGATGAAGACACATTGACACCAAATGACCATCTCCTGACAGTCCTCTATGACCTTTCCAAGCTCTGCTTTCGGGACAAAACCCATGTAAAGTTCCCGCTCAACCCAGAGGTGGGTGCAGGCTCACGGACCCTGAGCCTCTGACTTCCTGGGGAATAGCCTCTGGCTTACCGTGATACCCTTTCGTGGGCCTCTCCGAGAACGTATGCAAGCTGGGACAGGGTAGGCTTCTGGTTCAGATCCCAGCACTCTCACTTGCATGGAAATTACTTAAGTCCTCTTATTTTCTACTTCTTCCTCTATGCAGTGGTGACAATATTTCCTCCGAGCAGGATTACTGTAAAGCTTAGACGAGGAAGTGTAATGAAGGCACCTAGCAGTTAGTGTTTGGGATACTGAATAGAAATGTGGATGTTGGGTGCCTACTTTTTAACTCCAAGTCCTGTTTCTGGAATGCCTTAGGGTAGATGGGAAAAGTCAGAGAAGTTCAGAACTGGAAAGAACCAAGGCACAGATCACCCCACAAATACTGGGGTGCCTGAGATGCTGTCCTGGGCTTTGACGGTACTTCAGAGAACAGGCAGCTCTACCTTTGTGTCTGTAAATTCCAATGAGGAAACTGAGGCTCAGTGAAGCCAGGGTTTACCTCCAGTTACACAAAAAGGCATGGGAGCAGAGTCGGGCTCTCCAGATGTGGCCAATGGCCTCCTCACCTTCCTCTCTCACCAGGGCATGGAGGAGCTGGAGGTGGAGTTCCTGCTGGCTGAGAAGTAAGTGGAGTCAGCCCTGCATGTTGGCTAAGATCCTTGACCTGAGAGCCCAGTCTGCCTTGGTGCTGCCTTCTCATGGCCCAGCCTCACTGGGCTGGCTTCTACCGTGAGAGTCAGTTCTTTCGGGAGCTTGTGAAGGGCGTGGGTGCACAGGCTCCGCCACGGTTCTGCTTTCACTGAAGCCGGTAGTCTTTTAAAGACTTAGGGTTTGGGCTTACAGCTCGGCTGGTGGAATGCTGGCCTAATGCACAAAGTTCAGTCCCTAGTACCATGTAAGTATGGTAGCACAGGGCTTGCCTCAGTCCCCAGCATTTCCAACAGGAACTTCCTGGTAGAATTCCTGCCACCGTGGAATTCAGGAAAAGGGTTCTCCTCTTTGACCCAGAACTGTCAGAACAAACATCCTAACCTTCGGCCATCCTAACCTGAGGAGGGGGAAACAAAAGCTGGGGGCTAGAGAGACGGCCCAGTGGCTTATAATACTAGCTGCTCTTCCGGAGGACTCGGGCTCAATTCCTAACCGCCAGGTTGTAGGTCAAAACTACTCCGTTTCCAGGAGGTCTGATGCCCCCTTCTGGCCTCTTCTGGCACTGCATGCATATGATACCCTTATTTAACACTGACATTAGTTAAGGCCTGGAAGCTTTGCTGGTACAAAGTGTTTGTAGAAGGTGGGCTGCAGTCTTACGGGACTCCTACCTGTATAGTCACCTCCCTGTGGACATTCTCTCCAACCAAGGACATTCTGTTTTAAACGTCCGCCACTGTCCTCCTTGGCAACCTACAGCCCTAGATCTAGGTGGATCTTACAGAGACCGGCTTAGAGCTCTGATCCTCCCGCCGCTCAGGTGCTGAGGTGACAGACTCATGCCACCGCGTCTGTCTCAAACCTCGTTTTTCAAGTAGATGTTCTTCATGATAACGGAGAAGAGTCTGCTGTTGTACGACCAAAATGATTTCTAGACTTTGTAGCTTTCGTAAGGATTCGGCCGAGAATGCTGTTACTGACCAGGAGTTCTCTCTTATTTTTCAGTCCCTCCTCGCCAGAGACCCTCGTCACCAACGGCGTGCTGGTGGTAATTTGTCCTTCTGGGCTCTCTTGTAGCTCCAGAGGCCACGTGTGCCTGCTGCTTTCGGGGGAGGGGTGCTGGTTGCAGCCTGGGGCCTTGTCTGTGGAGAATTAGACTAACTTGGTTAACCCAGTCGGGTGCACCCAGGAATGGGGCTGCATTCTGAGCTCCTGGATCAAGGCAGGAAGTATCAGGGTATCACCATTGCCCAGTGCCCTACATCCCCAAAAGATTACCTTTCTCCTAAACTTAGACACCCACAACACCTTTGCAGGCATGATATCAATACTAAAATTATTTTGTAGGCCACGCATGGAGGTATATGACTTTAATTCCAGCCCTTGGGAGGCAGAGACAGACTGATCTCTATGAGTTCAAAACCAGCCTGGTCTACCTAGGCAGACCTTCTCCACACACACAAATAAATAAATAAGTAAATAAATAAATAAATAAAATTCATAGCTATTTTAACTGAATATACCCAGTGTCCTAGGAAACTTCCCCCTTAAAAAGCAGAGTGTTTGGGACCTTTGCCCGACCTCTGCTTCTTGGAAAGTTATTTTATTCCAAGTTCTTACTTGCACAGTTGAACACTTGTTTCAAGTCAGCCCCTATGAACATGGCTCCCAGCAAACGGTGATGCGTCCTAGATTTGTCTTCCCCCTCTTGGAGTGAGGCACCGTGTCTTGGCTGGGTTCAGCATTGTCTGCAGCAAACCCTGCACGGGCAACCTAAGCCCAGGGCTGACAGCAATGAACTCATCATCTGAGTCTTTGGCTCTTCCCTTCTAACTGGAAGAGGGAGGAGGTGGCCTGTGCTGAGAGTCCCAGCGACCATCTATTTTCCTTGTTACAGGCTCGCCAAGTCTCTTGCCTAGAGGTCCACGCAGAATCCAGGAGGCCAAAGAAGAGGAAGAAAAGTGAGAATTTCCCTGCTTTGTCTAACGGCGGGTTTGGGGGATGGAGGGGGCGGGGTAAGACTGTTCCCAAGCTGCACTGAGGTCAATTTGGAGCTCAGTGAACCAGGTCAACTCAACCTGGTCTGGTCTATCTCCGCGTTGAGGAAATAATGTTCAAACTCAAAATCGCATCCTCAGACACCTAGCCTCTCCACCCCTCTCTGCGAAGGGTGTGTTCTTCCAAGGATCCAAATGAAGCCCTCAGGCCTGCCAAGAGTCCTGGGGCCTAGGGCTTAGTGCTGCCCCCTGTGGCTCAGTTTGCTACGATGGCAGCGCGTGGGGCGGGTGGGCCTTGGTGGTCCTCAAGCCACACCTTCCCAGCAGCGCCCAGTTCACGGTGTTTCCCAGTTAGAAGACACCCAGTGACCCACGCATGCTACCGTCCACCCTCCGTACCTCTCTTAGGATGGGTTACCGGCTGTTCGCAGGCGGAGAGCAGCGTGGCCCCACAGACATGGGCAGAGAGTTGGGCTTGGGTCGCAGGGCGGGGTGGTGGGTCTGCTCCCGAGCTGACCGTCTGACGGGGGTCTGTGTTCTCCTGGGGGGGGGGGGGGCTGGGGGGGGGGGGGGAGGGGGGGGAGGGCTCGCCTAGCCTCTTCATACATATGTGCACCAAGTGCATTGGATCCCCCGGAACGGGGGTCATAAACAGTTGTGACTGGCAATGTGGGTGCTGGGAACCATACCAGGGCCTTTGTAAGAGCGACAGGTACTCTCAACCGCTATGCCAAGATGGGATTCTTTTGCTGGGCTAAATGGGAGGCGGAGATAAGAAGCTTCCCAGGGTTCTAAGGCTGCATCTTCTTTCTCAGACAAACGCCTCCTGGTGTCGGTGACAGACTCGTTTGAGAAGACCCAGGGTGTCCCGCCCCACCTGGAGCCCTGCTGCCTCAGCCCTGCCTGCTTCCACTACCCTAAGTACTTCCAGCCCCAACTCCATGTGGAGCCACCGAAGAGCCCCTGGAACTGCGGGGTACGTGGCAGCCGCAGTTGGAAGGGAGGAGGAGGGAGCCGGGATTGGGAGGGCTAACAGAGGAGCCCCTCAGCCCCTCACGGAGCCCACCCGTCCTTCTAGTTTTGCTGCTGTGGCGCACACGGGGACGGCCCCGTCTGCCAGCCCCTCGACTGCCTTTCCGATGGCCTGGCGGTAACCCTGCCTGTGGTGAGCAACTGGGTCTGGGGAGGGGTCCCAGGGCTGCTTAGCTCCTGTAGCGGGGAGATAGGAAGAGCCCAAAGACACATGGGAAAGGCAGCATGTGGAGTCTCTCAGTGGAACGGCCCTGTAGGCCTTTGTGGGAACCAGAGAACATGTGGAGCCTGGGTGAGGATGGTGGAATGTCATGTCCAGAAGTAGGATGTGGGGAGGGAGTATGTTTGCATGTATGTGCACGTAATCGTGAGCACGCATGCTTGCTGAGTCCAAGAAGGGGAAGTCTTAAGTCTCCACCTCTCTGGTTGGGTTCCCTTTGCCCTCAGTCGTCAACTCTAACAGGCATTTCGCCTTCTTCTCATCAGGGAGAGAACTATGAATTACACATGAAGTCCGTACCCTGGTAAGGTACCCTTTTTCTGTCCTTCCCCCTAACTCGAAGGAGTAGGTGTTGGGGTAGAATCTCACTGTGGTTTGGTTTGTGTTTTCTGTAGTGGCTAATGAGGTTGGGCATCTGTTCTGGACTTAATTGGCCATTAGTAGATGTTCTTTGAGATGTGTTTATCCAAATCCTTTGCCCATGTGTCAAATGGGCTCTGTCTTATTATTAACTTATGAAAGTTCTTTGTTTATTCTGGATACAAGTATTTTATACCCACCACACTTTTGTGGGATGGCTTTATATTTTCTGTGTGTGTGTGTGTGTTATTTTATATTGTGTATGAGTCTTTGTTTAACTGTCTGTCTGTCTGTATGCCATATGCATGCCTGGTGCCCACAGGGGAGGGTATTAGGTACCCTGGAACTGGAGTTACAGATGGCTGTGAACCACCATGTAGGTGCTGGGAACTGAGCTCAGGTCTTAGCTGAACCCTGCCTTCCAGCTCCTCCTTCATGGTGTCTTTTGAAAACCAAAGCTTTTTAATTTTACTGAAGCCCGTCTTCTCTTTTGTCACTTGTATCTTTTGTGCCAAATCCAAGAAATATTGCCTAATCCAAAATCGTGAAAATTTGCTCCCACCTTTTCTTTAGTTTTAGCTCTGATATCTAGGTTGTGACTGATTTTTAGTTCACTTTGTATAATGTATATCTTACACTGTGGATATTCAACTGCTCCTGTATCATTTATTGAAAAGACTGTGGCTTCCCTTGTTAAATTTCGTTGAAAATCGAGTGACTAGAATTTTTTCATAATTTTTATTTTATGTGTATGAGTGTTTTTTCTTGCACGTAAGCCTATGTGCCACATGTGTGTAGCGCTGGCAGAGGCCAGAAGAGGGCATTATAGCCCCTGGAACTGGAGTTACTGACTGTTGTAAGATGCCATATGGGTGCTGAGAATTGAATCTAGGTCCTCTGGAAGAGCAGCCAGAGCACTTAAGCCATCTCTCCGGTAATTTTTATTTCTAGTTTGGTTTGCTATTTGTCATTAGAAAAAAATTACTTAATCTCACTGGGTCTCAGTTTTCTCCACCTGCGATTCAGTTGTTCTCTGAATCTGAAGAATTAATGCATGTGAAATACTAGACAGTGGGTGGGACGCTCAGCACATGCCCACCAACTCTCCTGTTATTATTCATTCCCATGGCTGCCAGTTTCTCATAGAGAGTCAACTTCTCAGGCGGAGAGTTGCTGGCAAGCCTCCGGCCCTGCCTTCAAGAATACACAGCTTTGTTAGTAAGCTAAGATAGGTCAGAAACAGGTCAGAGTGCCTGGGAGAGCTGGGCATCAGGGGATTCAGGAATACAGGTAATAATAAAGAGAGAGAGAGAGAGAGAGAGAGAGAGAGAGGTTCCTGTGAAAATAAAGACCCTAACTGTTGTATCGGGTGGTTAATATTTACTATTATCTTTTAGTAGAGCCCCATGTTGGGCGCCATTTGTTGAAATGGCATTTAATATTTGCTATTGATATATATCTTTTAGTAAAGTTTCAATTAATCCTAAACAGCTGTATAACCAAATCACCACACAGAGACTGGGATTTATTTAATTAACCTAGAACACAATGCTGGGCAATAGTTACTCCATCCTAAACCTCTAAGCCTGCATAGTTCCTACCATTCAGATTTTACCCATTATACTTTCTTTCAGTGATATGTTAGTACCGGTCCATTTCTCCACCTTGTTCCAAGACCTCTCCTCCAGCTTCTCCTCTCTCTTCTCCTCTGCCTCCCACTCCTTCCTGTCCTCTGGCTCCTCCTTCCCTCTCCCTCCTACTCCTTCCTCTCCATTGCTCAACATTGTGGCTGGTTGTTTTATTTTGGCATGTTTATACATAGTTGAGACAGGTGATGCTTAGAATAAGTATCACAATGCAATGTCTAGATTGAAACCAGAAAGTTGGGTAGAGAAATCAGCATTTGAATGAACAAGGGTACGGTGTATACATTCCAAAAGAACATTATATCAACACTAACCAAGGTTCAGAAAGCAGTCTCTGAGAGCCTGGTGGGTTTTTCCTAATAGGTGAGGTGAGCTTGCACAGGTCTGGTAGGGTCTTATATGTCAGGCTTGTTGAGGCATCGGATGTGATGAAGAGAGGGCAAGTGTCTGGCACGTCATGGCAGCTCATGCCTCATCTGCCTTGAAGAACTGTGGGGATGATATGGTGAGATAAGGGGTGTGAGTGGCTTTGTCACCTGCACAAGCATGCAGGAGAAGTGTGATTCTGTGGGCAAGGAGGGTTCAGAAGGAGCAAGGAGCTCTGTGGGAGCAGAGGGCTCGTTTATAGGGCTCACAAAAGTCTATACTCTTGGGAGTTTTACCCAAGGGATCTAAGGGACCCTTGTCACTCATATCAGCTTTGGGGTAGAGAAGGTCCCTGGAGAAACCTTTTGGAACTTTTCAGATCCTGCCGAGGAGGCAGAAGGTACAGACAGATCCAGTCATAGTCTTTAGACAAGTACCAGCTTGGAGCGAGCTAGCTCAGGCTTTGGGGCTTCATGCCCAGTGTCTCATACTGGAGGCAGTGCCGGCCAGCAAACATTTTGCAGATGAGAATGCAGATGCCCTCGATCACAGAAGAGATACGCGCCAGAACTCAGCCCCACAACTGCTGATTGGAGGTGGAGGCTTACAGGTCCCCTTTCCCACAGCCCTGACTCGCTGGACGTGCGGCTCGGATTCAGCCTGTGCCAGGAAGAGGCGGAGTTTCTGCAGAAGCGGAAGGTGGTGGTGGCCAAGGCACTAAGTCAGGTGCTTCAACAGGACCTGCGTGAGGATGAGGTGGGTAAGCTGGGACACTAGCCTCGGCTGAGGGCCACCCTGGGCTATCGGTCCTCCCTCTCTACGTTCTGTTAGCCACTCTGTCTTTCTCAGCCCCGTGGTGACTGCTGTGCCACCTGCCTCTCTGTGTTGGCTCTAGCTGCTGAGGTCCTGGTGCCAGGACAAGGGCCCTGCTGTCTGTGGTTCAGTTGTGTATTCACCAGGATAAGAGTGGGGCGCGCGCGCGCACACACACACACACACACACACACACACACGCATGCACAGGAGCCTGACATGACTAAACTGTCTTACTGATACAGCAGCAGTGAGATGACAATCTCACTCAGCCAGGAAACATTTTGAAAGTTTTATCACCTTAAGCACCCAAACCCCAACCTTCACCCACTTTTTCCCTTTCTTTTCTAATAGCGTAATGACACCTGTAGGAAGTTGAAGAGAAGCCCCTTCCCTTCCCAGAACCTGTTGCCTCTTCCCCTAGAGGCAGCTATAGTGCCCCCCCATCTCCTCCCCTCAGAAGGTAGGCTGAGACAGGAGCCGAGCTCTGACTGGGCTTCGGCTTCAGGAAAGATCTTACCATCCCTACTAATTGGAGGCAGGAAGTCAGCCCCAAAGATGAGATGAAAGCATCTGCCTGGCTTAGACAGCAGATTTCTTACTGATAGCATCACTGGGCTTAGAGCAAAGGTCACCCTACCAAGTACCCCACTGCTCTGTGAAAGGTGGGCCTCGAACCATCTCTTTCCCCTCCCTGTTCTCTAACTGGCTATCTGCTCTCCTCCATTTTTATTAAGCTGGGATCGCTCCATGTCCTTGTCTGTGGAGGAGCTCTTTCCAGCAGTCTGCTTCTGTGCCTACAGGTACCGAGGATAGCCATCATGGCCACGGGTGGCGGCACAAGGTCTATGGTCGCCATGTATGGCCACCTGCTGGGGCTGCAGAAGCTGAACCTTCTGGACTGTTCTACTTATGTCACTGGCTTGTCAGGTGCAACCTGGTAAGGAGCTGGGCACCATCTTGCTGGAGCCCAGAGGAAGTAGCCTGGGATCTGGTGGAACTCTGAAAGTTCCCATTCCAAGGAAAAGTGACTCAGGATGCCTGAGGAGCTCTACCATGCACAGCTGTGGGGTTTGGGAAATTCGGTTTAATTTCTCAGACTCGGCTGGCCCATCTGTAAAGTGGGGTTAGTAATAATCTTGGCCTCTCCCAGGATTAAGCACTGAGCTACTGATTACTGGCCGTTGCTGGCTATGTCCCTGGGGCTGTGGCAGCAGCCCAGGAAAACTCATCAACAGAATGATGAGTGAGCCTGGTGTTTCCGTCTGTCTGGGTGAGATGCAAGCGCCTTCTTTTGGGGCTGGGCCCAGTCTCCCAGCATGGGTACAGCTAGCCTGGTTGCTCTGGCTTGCCTTCCTGCAGGCCCTCAATGTTATCCTTTCTTCTTATCTCTGCCCTGTCAGACCTCCTCAAGCAGCTGAGAGGAGTAAGCAGAGCCTGCACAGGGCTGCCTCCTCCCCACTCTGCTGAGGTGGAAGGGAAGTGGGCACTGGGCTCCCAAAAAGAAGCCTGGTAAGGTCAACTCTAACAAGAGGCATAGCACCAGGGGCCAAACAAAATGAAGGTGTTATTTGTTCATTTCATAACAAGGAGCTTGTGGGTTAAAGAAAATGTTTCACTGAATGTCATCAACACAGTTATCTTTATATAACATGGTTGTGGCATAGAACTTTTTACATTTTATGTAGCATAAGGGGCTCACTAAAGTCATCACACCACCCTGGGGCTGCAGGAAGCCTCTCTGCCAGAGTCGTGCCTCACTCTGTTAGGGACTTAGCCCTGAGTCTCCCTGCTGTGCCTTTTCCTTTGATGAAACTCCACGTAGCTCTCATCAGAGGGGCTGGATGTGAACTTGTCCTGGGAAACCCTCACGCCCCACCCGGGCTCCATATCTACTCCTTAGATGCTGGAGGCTTTGGATCGCCTGGGCTAGAATGTGTGTTTGCACATTCGCTTTGCACCAAGCGAAGATGTTCATCAACCCCCAAGAGGGACTAGAACAGGCTATCCGGGGGATATCACTATGATGGTCAAGCCCCTCACATACATGACATGGAGTCTGCGTAATGCCACCCACACAATCCTAACAGGCGCTTTAAGTCATCTCTAGATTACTTACGGCACCAATCCAACGTAGTTGCTGTGTAGCAGGTATGTTCTCTTGTCTCGGGAAAAATGACAGGCCATAGAGGTTCAGTAAACAGGGAGAAATTTCTGAATAACTTCAACCTGCAGCTGGTTGGGTTTCTGGGTGGAGAACCTGCAGGTAAGGAGGAGCCTGCAGGTAACTCCCCCCTGTCATTTTATAAGTGGAGAAGCCAAAATCACTTGCCCCACGTCACTCGCATCAGGAGTCACAGACCTGGAATTTGATCTCCATCCAGGGAATGTGTTCAGTGGCTGCTCCCAGACAGCTATAAAGATAACTCACAGCACTAGAGAGATGCCCAGCTACGGAAAGCACATTCTGGTCTTGCAGAGGATCAACTTTAGTTCCCAACACCCATTACAGGCAGTTCACAAGCGCCTGGAACTACAGTTCTAGGGGGAGCCAATGCCTCACATAATTAAAAAAAAATGATGATGATGATGGTGATGACAACTATTATTATTATTATTATTATTATTATTATTATTATTATTATTATTATTATAGCTGATGTGGTAGTCCAGCACTCAGGAGTCAGAGACAGGTGGACTTCTATGAATTCAAGGAGACTAGCCTGGCCTACATAGCAAATTCCAAACTAGCCAGGGCTACATAATGAGACCCCCACCACAAACAAAAACAAAATAAGTAATAATAAAATAAAATATGTTTAAGATGATAACTTGCTTCAGCAGGCCTAGGAAACACTGTAGTGTTTCTTTAGATTGCTGTGTGGTGTGCAGAACACAGAGAGGGCCTCGGGCACAGCTAGCATGTTAGACTGAAATGTTCACAGGTCCCCTGCACTGGGGCAAAGCATGGGAAACATTCCTTTTAAAACAAAGATCAGCACCCTGAGGGCGGTGGCTCATGCCTGTTATACTAGCTAGCACATAGGAGGTAGAAGCAAGAAGATCAGGAGTTCTAGGCTAGTCTGAGCTACATACTGAGTTGGAGGCCAGCCTGGTCTACACAAAACCCTCAGTAAATGAAGAATAAGTAAATAAAGCACCAGCAAATGAGTTTGGGAAAGCTTTTTGAAAATATGAAAGTAACAGAGCAAATTTTATGGAAGGCAAAGTACTATTTGTAGAAGAAATCATCCATCTTCCATCTTTCTTGGAACCAATCCTAGGAAGAAGGAGGCTCCTGTTTGTATCATTGGGCACCCTTAGACAAATTCCCCTGCCACCAAGGAACCCTCTGGAACAGAATATAGAGAGGCCCTTCCCTATGTTGGCATCCAGAAGTTTGATCCAACAGAATCAGACAGACCCAGACCCCAGCTAAAGAGCACTGAAATGGAGAAAAGAGAGTTGACCACTGTTCAGGGTCATTCAGCTCCTGACCTGGAAATTTTTTTTAAAGCTTTCTTTAAAAAAAAAAATTTTTTTTAAATTACATGTATGTGTGTGTGTGTGTGTGTGTGTGTGTGCATGTCTGTGTGTGCATACACATGCTTGTGTACCCATGCCCATGTGGAGGGCAACTTGCAGGAATTGGCTCTTTCCCTCACTATGCAGATGGCAGGGATCAAACTCACGTAGGCATGCTTGTCGGCAGGCACCTTTACCTGCGGAGCCATCTTACCAACCCCAACCTGGACTTTGAGGCTGTGTTCAAAGGCTGCTCCTAAATAACTATAAAGTTAACTCACTCCAGCAGAGCCATGCCGGACTTGTGTGGGGCGGACAGGAAACAGAGAGGACCTCAGGCCCCAGCTTTCCTGCCCCCACCTACCACAGTCTGCATGTAAGATAAGAAGGAAAAGAGAAGTGGAGAATGAGAAAGAAGTGGGAGGGAGGAGGGGAAGAGGAAGAATAAAGAGAGAAAACAAATCTTTTCAAAAACTATTTTATGTACATGGGTTTTTTTTGCCTGCACACTGTGTGCCTGCCCGGTGCCTGCAGAGGTCAGAGGAGGATGTTGGGTCCCCTAGGTTTAATGTTTAATGGAGTTAATGATGGTTGTAAACTTTTATATAGATGCCAGAAATTGAATCTGGCTCCTCTGGAAGAGCAGTCAATGTTCTTAGGCCCCGAGCCCAAGAAATAAATCTTGAATTAGTGTCCTAATCACGGGAATGAATATGGCACAAGAGAAAGCACTCATGATCTGGAGTCAGCCGGTCCAGGAATCCAATGCTCCCAGCCCCAGCTCACCACAGTACTGGTGTCTCACCCAATGGTCACTTGTGATTTTTTTTTTTTTTTAATAAGAACTGTGTGAGCTGGGTGCATCATTCATAATTCTTACCACTTCAGTTAAGGAAACTGAGGCAAAGAGCAGTTAAGCAGCTTGTCCAAGATCACATAGCAAGTGAGGTACAGAGCCTGGTTTTGAACCCAGGAAGATCTAGGCCCAGAATCCTCATCTCAACTAACATGATATACCTGACATTAAAGGGAAAAAAAGGCATTCAAGAGAGGGCAGTGTTTACCTGCTTCTCACCACAAAACCCTCCATCATCCCCTTTCCTCCAGGCCCCTGTCTGGCCAGGTCTGGGATGCCTCACAATCTGCCCATCTTCTGTCTGGACACAGAACTGATCAGACCAGGGCCAGGGGTAGCCCCGTCATCTGCGCTTGTCTCTTGCCAGGACTATGGCTACCTTGTACAATGATCCTGAGTGGTCCTCCAAAAACCTGGAGCCTTTCATCTTTGAGGCCCGGAGACATGTTGTCAAAGACAAGATGCCTGCCCTGTATCCAGATCAGCTCTGCAAATGGCGAGAGGAACTCCGACAGCACCGCCAGGAGGGCTACAAGACCACGTTTACAGACTTTTGGGGCAAGCTGGTAGAGTACAGTTTGGGCGATAAGGTTAGTGTCCAGCCGTTCCTGGGTCCCACCTGCCTAGACTGATATTAGATCACACTCTTTCTTCCTCTGAACCTCCGTGGCCAGAGACATCAGGTTAGACCTGCAGGGACACTCTCAGGCTGAAAGAATCGTCAGCTGACCAAATGCATGTAGGGGTGATGAAGATGGCGAGGTCATCTTTCACATCTCTTTCGGAGGACCGAGACCTCAATGTTGGGCCAGCCTGGGTGCTCCCCTGCATGCATGAGGCATATTTTCCGAAAGCCATGCCAAAATAGCCACGGGAGAAAATGAGAAAGAAGCTGGGTAAAGCTAGAGAGCTGTGCTGTGTGGCTCAGGACGGCTTAGGGCAAGGCCTTTGGTGGGTCCTTTAGTCACAGCTATGTGACATATTCTGCATTCCCTGAATGAGCCTGCCTTGGCTTCTCATCACGAGGACAAAGGAAAGGTGACCTCAGCAGAGACAACTATAGCTTTCAGGACACAGCGGTCAGGGCCCTTCAGTGTTGTTCTTGGTCCCTGGAGGTCTGCAGGGTTCATTTTCACGGCCACCACAAGGAAACAGAGCTAGAAAGCTTTCTTTCTGTACAGAGTCAACACTGAGTGATATGTGCTTCCCCCCCAAACCCTGTTTGTGCTGGGCTGTAGCTGATGGCAGTTGTGTCAGATGTGGTAGAATGAGGTAGGGAGTCTCCAAGAGATGTGATCCTGTACACACATCAGGGTGAACTCAGCTAACGCCTGGCTCTGTCACGCCAGGATTTAGAAAAGAGCCACCTTTAGCTGTTGCTTGGCTCCAAAAACAGGGTTTCCCACTCACTTCTGTCAAGGCCACCAGCTCTTGGCCCACTTCCAAAGGTATATCGGAGGCTGTGAATTCAAACCAGAACTTCCGGAAGGAAGGTGGACAGCATAATAGCTGCCAACAGGTCCCCTCTGCCGTGTAATTAGGTATTTTGGGTCGGGGAAATGGCTTCATGGATAAAATGCTTGAGCACCCAAACTTGAAGACTGGCATCCTCAGAACCCACGTAAAAGCCCGGCAGGCATGGAGCTCCCTGCAACGCTAGCACTCAGGAGGCAGAGACAGCACCCCTGGGGCAAACTGGCTAGCTAGGAATTGTTAAGTTTCAGATTCAGGGAGAGACCCTTCCTCAGTAAATAAAGTGGGAAGCAATTGAGGAAGCAATCTGACATCAACCTTGGAACACACCCTACGCACACAACATGCATGCAAACATGCATACATGTATGTGTGCATACCATACATACATACATATGTACATACATGAAACACATGAAAAGGGAAAGAAAATGAGACATTTTGAGCAGTCAATGATGGCATGACTCTCATTTAAAAAAAAAAGATTTGTTTATTTATTTGTTTATTCTGTATACTGTGTTCTGACTGCATGTATGTCTACATGCCAGAAGAGGACATCATAATAGATGGTTGTGGGACTTGAACTCAGGACCTCTGGAAGAGCAACCAGTGCTCTTAACCTCTGAGCCATCTCCCCAGCCCCTAGACACTCATTCTTTTGTTGTTCTGAGATAAAGTCTCACCTTGCATAGCCCAGGCTAGCCTGGGACTCACGTTGTAGCTGAAGCTGGCTTTGAACTTGTAATGATTCTCCTGTTTCATCCTTCCAAGTGCTGGGACTTCATGTATGTGCTGCCATACCAGGCTAACTCTCATCTTTATTATTTACTTATCCCTCTTTCATTTTTTTAATTGAAAGAAAATTATTTAGATTTATTTTATGTGTGTGAGTGTTTCACTTCCATGTGTGAAGTGTACCTGGTGTCCACAGAGGTCAGAAGAGTGGCCTGGATCAATCTGCCGCTGCCTCCCACAAGATGGGATTAAAAGTACGCAATATCAAACTGGCATCAAAAAATTTACCAATAATAATCAAGAGCAACCCACATGATAAGACAACATCACAACTTTTTAGGCTAGAAGTCCGGGCATTCTGAAGGTCTATAGCAAAGAAGAACTAGGCTAGGAGGAAGCTGTGAGGAAGGCCCCACTCTTCCACTCTGCTGGGGCAGGAGTATGTTACCCTCCATAATCCTTGAGCCAACTGGGCTTCTTCCTGTGTCTGTGGCTTTGTATCTAGGACATTTAACTCTGTAGTACCCAGATCTCTGGGTGCAGCTGTGATGAGCACCCTGTTTTGCTCCAAAGAAGGCCCAAGAGTTTTCAGACTCACATATGTTTGCCATTCCACCCAGGGTGGACACAGGGTAACCACGGACGGTCAGAGCTTGGGCCCCCAGGACCTCACCTTTGCCTCATCTGTGCTGGCTGGTTCACTTTGGGGTACCAGGGTCCAGGCACATCGGCAGGGCTTGCTACACTGGTGACCCAACACAGGACTCTGGGAACTTGGGGCTTATCTAAACTGTCACCTAATTTCAGGTTTCTAAGCCGCTGGTTGAGAGAGAGAGAGAGAGAGAGAGAGAGAGAGAGAGAGAGAGAAAGAAAGAGAAAGGAGGGAGAAAGAGAGGAAGGAAGAAGGAAGGAAGGAAGAAAAAGAAAGGAGAGAAGGTATAAGGAATGGATAGGGAGAGAGATTTGCCTCTTAAATTTTGAGAGAACCCAGCACACCGTGTTAATAAGACAAAAATCACTGGTGCTGCTCAGGTTCAAGTAGTGAGCAGGAAATAATAGCAACGAAAAGAGACAGTGGTGGCTTTCTCTACCTTTAGCATATCCTCTAGCCCCTGAGACACGAGAACCCTGAGACCCCAAGAGACAGCCTTAAATTACAGAGCCAGCCTCACCCTACTTATGGCCTGTGTTGCCAAACAGCCTAAGTAAAAATTGTTATATATTATTCTCCAAGCGCATTTAAGAGTTGATACCTGGAGTCACTGCAGCCTATACAAGTTGCCTGGGGGGGAGGTGTGTGTGTGTGTGTGTGTGTGTGTGTGTGTGTGTGTGTGTGTGTG